ATATATATATATATATAGTAGAACACAATATAATCTATTCAGGGAACGAATATTTCTTCTTGTCCTCAAGACTTCATCAGTGTAACTGATCACAAAAGTTGGCAAATACTAGATCTATAATACAATAAACAGTCGGCCATAAATAAAGGAGGGTGATTAAATGAGATAAACAATAATGGAGACATAGGGATAATGATATATGATGGGAGCAAGATAATGAGTTAAAAGTGTGGAAAACAAAGTACTCTGATATCGAGTAGTGTAAGCGATAGCCCATGATACAGATAAATATAATGGCAATAAAAATCATAAGATAATATATCAGCCTAATGTACATACATATATATATGTATATAATATAATGTAGGTCTAATAATTATAATAATAATAATAATAATATTAATAATAATAATAATAATAATTAATAATAATAATAATAATAAGCCATTATCAAAATAAACAAAAACAAAGTAAACTAGGTAAGCCTAGATACAAAAGTAATGCAGAAGTCAACACTTTAACTCTCCTGGCCACTCCATTGACAACATTCGATGTTTCTGCTAGCTAACAATTTTCCATGTCTCGACCATAGAAGACGCTCAGAGCTCAAACTCATTATCAAATTCAATACTCACATTTTAGGGTATTCTGAGCGATTATGCATTCACACACACTTGACTTTTTTTCATATCATATCCGCATCATTATTTTATGTACACCATGTTATATTCCATATTACTTGTATAATGTTATATTTAATTTTGGGGAAATAGTATTCTCTAGATGACTGGAAATGACACTCTTATAGTAAAATTCATCATCATCAAATCACTCTTATAGTCAAAATATTTCTCATGATCTTTTATTAGCGATTTTCGGAAACATAGAGATCTAATTAATAATAGGGTCTATGTGTGGTGTACCATAGTAAATTAACATTGTCTGTGATGTATTTAATTTACCTACTCCAAAAGTGAGTCCAGATCAACCTCATCCCCACCATGGTTAAGGCTGAGATGCGTAAATTTGATGGCCGGAAATGACACTCTTATATAGTTGCATTCATGATCATTACATCACCATTATAGTCAAAGAAGCACCAACAAATTTCTCATGATCTTTTATCAAGAATTTTCAGCAGTCATAGAGATCTAAATAATCTGTTTAATGTACCCTAGAAAATAAAACTTCAAAACATTTTCTTTTATTTACTTTACTTACTTACCGTGAGTCCACAAGACGTCGCTCAGCTCCACCACATTTGGGGCTGAGGTGGTAAAATTTGGGTAAATTGTACCTCTAGATGGCCGGAAATGACACTCTTATATAGAAAAATTCATCATCATCACATCACCATTATATCAAAATTAATTGCCAACAAATTTCTCATGATATTTTATTAGGGCAATCATAGAGATCTAATTAATCTCTATGATGCACTATAAAAATAAAACTTAATTGTCTTTGATGTATTTACTTTACATTACTACTTCATGTGCCGGAAACAATTTTATCTTTACACGCTTTTTTCTTCATACTTCCCAAATTATAATAAAGGCAAGCGCACTCAAGTCGTGTATAGGTAGGCATAATTCAAATATTTTGTGGGCAGAGATACCGTATCTTGCTATAAGATGTATTCTGAATGTACAGGTCTCTTTTGTTAAAACTTGGGTCATATGCAGTTCATTTCAATAATGTTCAGGCATCTTTTTTCTGACTTATGAAATCTCATTGCCGCCGAAAAGTAGGGGACCAACCCCCTCCCCCTTAAAAATATTTGGGAGTGGGGGGACGTGTTCCTCCCCCCCCCCATAATCTGCGCCCATGTCAAGCCCATCAACGAAAAGTTTCCTTTAAAAAAAAATTAAACTATTTGGTTTTTTTTATAGGCCGCCTATACACACACATTATTGTTCCAGTCAGGCCGAAGTGTTTCTTTGTGGTCGTTCTTGAAATACTTAAGTTTGACCTCCTTACTTGCCCGTCGGGGCTAGAGACCTAGCCACTCCATCCCCAATATCTATCTGTGTCAGTTAGACGCACGATTTCAGGGGACGAGAAGCGATACCGATAATGATGAGATGATGATTCAAAAAAGTTATTGAGTAACCGTATTATATAAAAGTATATAGTATTTATATATAAAATTAATTTTAGTTAGTCAGAAAATTGCTACCTAGTCAGAACAGCTTAGATAAAATTAAAGAAATGAATTGGTAGTACTTTCATGACTAACAATTAATGATATTTATTTCATGAGCTGAGTCGATGGTTGGGGCGGCTGTTAATTGGTGAGAAAATGTTTTAATTATTTTATATTAAAAACGTATAACTTACGGTTAAACCAGGGAGTTGTTATTTAGTTAAACAGTGTTCTGACCGTGTTGACCGTGTTTGTCAAACAGCGCCCTCTTTCTGCTGTAAGGGGATTCCCCGAGAAAATCCGAACCGGAATCAATGGTTGTATTTTGGCAAGCAATTCCGTCCTTTGAGTTGACCATAAAAGCTGCGTTGAATTTTGGGAATGCGGATGGCTTATAAGGTTAGTGATTGCTTCTTTTGTTGGGGGACTTTTCATTTAGACACCTGTGATAATAGTGTACCTTATATTAGGGGAAATTTTTGTAAACCGTCAGGAAGGTTCATACTATTTAGGCATGTATTCCCTTTGTCCAAGCCTGCTAGTCATTTTGTACTAGGATTTGGAGGCATAGGCCTAGAGGTCTGGAACGGTGGCTTTCCGGGGCTGGCTTAGCTTACTTATACCGCCGGACGTACTTTTAATATTTATAGATTTTTTACATGATTGATATTAATAGTATGTCTTGTTAAATTTTTTTTAATGCAAAATGTATGTAGGCATTCCTAAAGCCTAGGTATAGTTTATTCGCTGACAACTTATTAAGTTCTCAATGAAAATGTGCTGATCATGAATTGATGTTGGAATCTGTAGCAGAGTAGTACTACTACTACTACTAGTAGTAGTACAGTAATACTCCACAAGGGATCACTGCCACTAGCAATTTGCAAAGGTTAGTCTAAACTGTACATACATTCTAAAATAGCATATCATAATTATTCAGGATATTTGTACAGTATGATATGTTATTGAAGTCCACAACCACTATCTTAATTATCATCATTTTTTATTAGATTAGACAGCCAGGGGCCCCAAGTTCGAGGAAGGCATTTCAGTGTGGTCTGGTTTAATGAGCTTTCTTAAAACCTCTGATTGTATTTTGCTGCTGGCCAGCTGGCACCAAATTAATAATTTAATAATACAGCAAAAAAAAAACATAGATATCATCTATTTGCGGAAGATTGATTAATTCTGGGAGATTGTTGCTTGTTTACAAGAGTGTAGAACTAGAATATCATGCTGATTTCTGAAGATCTCTGACTTGCCTTGAGACTTGGGACCCTGGCCAGCTTGAGTAGTTAGAGCCATATTGCTTTTGTTTTATGCCTGGCATCAGAAAAACCAACATGGTGCTTTTTTATATAACCTTTCCAGTTAGTGCAGTTTAATTTTGGAGGACTTGGGTAATAAATATGCTCACGTCTTCTAATTCTAGTAACAATCCTGTAATCTTATACCACATATAAACTGTTGTATATATACTGTTGTATAATTCAGGCATGATGAGACATGGAAAAGTATAGTTGCAGATTTTCTTCATTTTATCTGAGTTTTATTCATATTAGTTTACATTTCTTTGAAAAAAAAATCTTTTCCTAGGCTCTTATTTAGTATTCATGTGGCTGGTGCAATGATGATTGCAGAATTCAGTGTTATTGTGGAAAATGAGCCTAGTGTCATATTATTTTCGGGGCCGAATAGGCTGTTTGTTCAGTTTGACAGTGTGTGTACATAATCTCTTAGAGAAAAGTGAAAACCTGTTAGAGGCTGTATCCTGCAAGACCATCATGTGCCCGACAGACCTGTTTAGTAGCAAACAAACAAACTCATTCTGCAAATGTCAAGCTATAATTCATTGTTAGCAGAGCTCTATAAGATGATCTACTTCAAATACAGTATACTGTAGTAAACACCTTTGTGGTAGAAATTATTGGCAATATCAAGTTGAAAGTCTAGTAAAAAAAAAACAATATTATTCAATGGACAGTGTTGAAGTGGTGCTGTTATACCATGATGAGGACATATGGTGCATGCATTTCGCTTGTCCTTGAGCAAGGCACTTTATCTGCATTGCTTCTCTCCACCCTGGAGTATAAATGGGTACCTTGTGGGGTTGCCTGCTACTGCACCAATATGACCATGGGAAACTTACAGCACTTCGTAACTGAAAGGAAAAGTGCTATAAAGGCATCTATGAACAAGTAGTAGCCCAGTATTGTAACCAGAATTTTCAAAGCACGTTTTGGAGACATGACAGGATTCTAACCTTCAGGAGAGACCATTGCAATTGCCAAATCAGGAAAAAAAATCAGACATCATGGTGTCAATGTGTACAGTAGGTCAACCCTGAAACAGCGTATACCAAGACTTCCAAATTTTGAATGGTCTTTTGGTTACCACAGCAGTTTCAATTCAGTCTTTAAAAAACTTGAGTTTTAGGTTTAAACTTAATTTGTTTAACTCACACACTCATATTTTGTAAGTTGTCATAAAAGTAATTTTTTTGATTAACTACACTGTTGTTGCTTACTTTAAATATGCTTTTAGCAAAACTGTTTTGCAATGAGAAAACCAAATATTATTTTATACAGTTTGCTCTCCTCTGATGATTGTTCAAAAATAAAGTTTGCTATACAATAAATGTTGATATCAAAAAGACTGAAAGTAGACCTATGAAAAGACACTTTGTGGCGCCCTCAGTTACACTCTTTAACATGAGTTTATTTGTATGTGGCAGTCGTCATGGTGAATCATTCCTGTTGACGCCCGGGTAACCTGTTTTGTCTCCATGGCCGTGGTTTGTTGCACCATGTAAACACATATTGTCTCATTGAACAGGGAACAATGAAAAACAAAAACAGACAACATCACTGTTTATTGCCATTACACTAGTATTGTATTAATTGTTTGGTGCTGTATAGGGAAAGTCCCAACATTAAAGAGGAAGTGATCTTACGCTCTGTCCAGACTATCACGTGACATGCCTAACGTGACATGCTTAAATATGGTCATCATGATATCCCATCATGACCATGACCATATATAGGTACATCATGACTATATATAGCACAGGTGGGCAAAGTGCGGCCTGTGGGCCGAATGCGGTCCGACAGCGATTTTTTTTAGGCCTGCGAATATGAAATAAAAACCCTATGTGTGCGGCCTGCCAAGCAACATTGGCTAGAAAACACTTGTTTTTTTTTTTTTACGGCCTGACACCGATCATGTAAAAAGTAATATTAAAACTGGGAATAAAGTGGTGTAAAAGCAGTGCTTGGAGGTTTTTAGAAGCGCACTGGAAAGATCAAAGTTTGTGTGCGGCCCTCGGTGTTAAATCAGAAATTCACTTTGGCCCTCTGACCGATTTTTATGCCCACCCCTGATATATGGGATTTGATAGTCTGGACAGAACTTTAGTTGTGATCTACCTGTACTGCACATGGAAGATCACAACTCAACCTGATTAAACCAGTAAGAGCTAGCAAATGTTTGTGTTTTAGTTCAGTTCAGTTTGTGTAGAAGCCTTGAGCTTCTACCTTAATGTAGACTCCTCCAGTGTTGGCATACTGTACAACATCCAAGAATATTTGTATTTGTTGCTGAAGATGGATTTGAATTCCGAAATAAAAATTAAGAAATAAGAAAGGCACTGCTTGTACTTTTTATATTTGCTTTTATATTGGTAATGTATAGGCAACAGAGAGACCCATCCCAGTGGGCCATTCTGTGGTTTGCAGCAGATTATGATCATGAAATTCTCACTTCTTAGGGTTGAAACATAGCCAATTTAGCAGCCTATCAATATTCAAGTTGGTGTATCTAAACCTAGCCGGCTGAGAATGGTTAGTGAGTGGTTCAAACTCGCAACCACAAGTTTTATAACCAGAATAGAAACTGCTACGCCAAAACGCCTACATTTATGTTCAATGGTTATAGACTAAAGTGCAAAAGACTACTGTAGTTAGAAAATTACAAAAAAAAAAATTGCTGGTGCTACCTACAGTATTGGGATATGCTCTTGTCGACGTCCAAAGATTTAACCTTCATCCTAGGCCTACTGTATGTAGTAAAGAAAAGATAACATTCTTGACCAACCAAACCCTAATTTTTAAATATTTAAATTATATGTACAGTAAATCGAATGTTTAGCTCTTTAACTACCCAATAATATTTATTTTCAATTAATCCACATGTGCATGTCGTACAAATACAACAATGCCCAAACCACACCTAAATGGACAGAATTAAAAATTTATGACGGTTATTTTTAATACAATTGATTTTGAGAGTCTACATTCTTTATCTCTGGATTTTTTAAAAGGAGATTCCAAATTTATAATTTTATTAATATGTGACTTTTTGTTATAAAAACAATTTATATTATATAAATATTATATATTTTTATGATTTTTTTATTTTTGTGCCTGGATGCAAACAATTGTGAAAAAACCTATAAACCAATTATTATTAAACTTTAAAAATTGTATAAAACAAATTGTATTACATTAGAGGACAAAATTGCATTCCCTCCCATAAAATCATTCAAAATTTGGAATTTTGTAATGTATCCTGTGAGTGTTTCCCTAAACTTTCTTCCATTGGAAACACTTTGTCAGTATTAAATAGCAATGGCAACCAAGAGGCAGATGATGCATAGGGAACTGCAAAGGGGATTCCCCAGTTCTTTTATCTAAATGGTAATATGGTGATAGTCTAATTACTTCTATCATGCTTCCTTGTCTCAGAATGCTATTGTTTTGCTTGTAAAAACTATTATTGATGTATTTTCCTGTTGGAAGACCTGTTTTGAATATACTGTAAGAGTTTACACCACATTGTTTATTTTTCTGCTTTCCACCTTAGAACTGTACTGTTGATCTATTTTGCTATTTTTCCCAGGGTCCTAGAATGCACAGCTGATAGCCATTGTTATACAGTAGAGCAATATTCCCTGGATTAACCTTTTTTTTCAAAAGACTGAAGGGAGGAATAAATGTGTTATCTTGTCTAAATGTTTTTTTTATTTTTTATTATTATCTGAAGTTAAAAATCTATTTTGTATTAGTTAAATGTCCGTGTTTAATTATAACTGTTTTGTTCTTATATTTACTGTAATATTTCAAAATATCTGATGAATATTAAATTTATAGATTTTTCTGATAAAAGGTCTGTAAATCAGCAAACATTTAATTGTTTCAATTTAGTTTTCTCATTGGGATTTGATATTAATAAATGAGCAGTTCTATGTGAATGTTCTATTGTTTCGTCTGCTCGATGCACTGCATGCGACTACCGGGAATACTACCCAGGAAGCGGAGGAGGTTGCTTGTTGTTTCTTCTTTGCTGATTTGTGGATTCAATGACCATGGAATAAATAATGATAGAAAGCGCTTAATGTAAATATCATAAGTGCTTTCTTGTCTTATATCGTGAAAAGTGCTATAATTTATTTATTGAAAATGGAATTATTGCGAAATCTTGTTAAAAGTTTTTAAAATATTGATACTGATAAGATTATAAAATGTTCACATCTGCTGCAAGCAGTGCTAACACCAAACTTACAATCTTTTAATGATTAATTAATTTTGAATATCGATAAGCTTTTGTTAACCTTTGGCAGCACATTGATGTAGCCACACAAATGTGCAAAATATGTTCAGGGAAAACTATATTTTTTCCGGCATACTATGCATACTGAAATATGCAACAAAAATGAATGAAATAGTTTGCTTGGTCTCTTTTGCCATTAAAAATATCATTATGACCATTATTGGATAGATGCTCTATAAATATTTTGTAAGCACCAGTGAATCTATTGTTATCTGTCTTCCTTATTTGTCGTTCTGCGATGATATACCTGAATGAATACTCTAAAAGGCTTGAAAACTTCCC